CACTCTGTTTCGCTACACATTAACACACTCTGCATTCACTACACTAACACACACTCTGCATCTGCTACATATTAACACACACTCTGCATCCGCCACACACTAACACACTCTCTGCATTCACTACACTAACACACACTCTGCATCCGCTAAACACTAACCCACTCTCTGCATTCACTACACATTAACACACTCTGCATTCACTACACTAACACACACACTCTGCATCCGCTACACACTAACACACTCTCTGAATTCACTACACTAACACACACTCTGCATCCGCTACACACTAACACACACTCTGCATCCACTACACACTAACACACTCTCTGCATTTACTACACTAACACATACTCTGCATCCGCTACACACTAACACACTCTCTGCATTCACTACACTAACTCACACACTCTGCATCCGCTACACACTAACACACTCTCTGCATTCACCACACTAACACACTCTGCATCCGCTACACACTAACACACTCTCTGTATTCACTACACTAACACACTCTCTGCATTCACTACACATTAACACATTCTGCATTCACTACACTAACACACACTCTGCATTCACTACACATTAACACACACTCTGCATTCACTACACATTAACACACACTCTGCATTCACTGCACTAACACACACACTACATTCATTACACTGACACACTTTGCATTCACTACACACTAACACACACTCTGCATTCACTAAACTATGCATACACTCTGGATTCACTATACTGACACACACTCTGCATTCACTACACTAACATACACTCTGCATTAACTGTACACACAGCATCCACTACACAAACATCCTGTATTCACAGTACACACACTACATCCACCACACATTGAAACACTCTGCATTCACTATACACAGACACTGCGTCTAATACATGCACTACATCCACTACAGACACTGCACCCACTAAACACATTTCATCTAGTACATACAAACACTACATCCACTACACAAACACACACTACATCACTGTACACACAGTATATCCACTACTCAAACACACTCTGTGTTCACTATACACACTGCATCCGCTACACAAACACACACTCTGCATTCACTGTACAAACAGTATCTAATACACACAAACACTACATCCATTACACATATTCTAATTCACTTCCACTATACACACCACATTCAGTCCTGCATCATTGTCAGCGGACCAGGTAGGGCGTGGGCGGGCCCGGGAGTGAGGGGGGGCCCAGACCTTGTGCTTTGTCAGGGGCCCCAAAATTTCTGATGGCGGCCCTGGGTCTGGGTGCCTATAGTGGTCCATTAATAATGATTCACTTGGTCTTTCAGGATACATTACAGGTAGAGTTAAAGGGCTACTCCAATTACCATGACTATGTCTGCTTTTAGAAGTGGTCATGGTGCTACAAGTCAGTATGCACAGCATTTCTGCTTCAATTGCAGCACATACTAAAATATTTGCACTTGTGTGCCGAGGGCTAGTTACACCGTCGGTACACGTAACTTTGGCTGGAACTCTTTTCTGGACTACCAAATGTAAAGTGTGGACAGTGCCGTCAGTGTAGACAGTGCACCGGTGACAGACATGTTTTACAGGCAGCACACCTTCAAGGGGAATAATGCTCTTCCCGCCCTCCCACAGAGCAGTAACTCTTTATCACTCTTAATCTCACTGATGCCGTTCCACCTCTGTTAACAGGAAAAAAACAAATCTGGGAGAGGCATTTCCTGATTGGCTGGCAGATGTTCATCACTGAAACCAATAGGCTGGACTTGACAGTCAAAGGAAGTTCAAATTCCTGACAATTCACTAATGTGCACACTGTCTTTTGCACCAGATTTTTGTTGCTGTGCAGAACACAAAATATAATCATATATATAGCACCAGTATATTCACGGTTTTCAATTATAGACAGGGAATATCTGACAAGTAATTGACATTCAAAATATTAACAGAGATGAGATGAAGTTCCTGCTCAAGCGAGCTTAAAATCTTTGAACATTCTTGAACACATGATAATTCACCCTGGTTTTTTCCAACCTACATTTGGGTTTTTAAAAGAACACTGTGAAATATTGCACATCAGTTCCTAATATAAAGCCACCAATCATTCCTCATCTCACCTTCTAAAAGTGATTTGAAGTGGTCATGGTGCCTGGAGTCTGTATGTGCAGTGTTTCACTATGAATTGCTGCACGCAGAGAGTTTAACCCCATTTATTGCCCAAGGTGTAACTTTCAGCCAATGAATAGCCAGTGGGATTGGCATCAAGCTTCTACAACCTTGCAGCAGCAGGATGTTGTCACAGCCAGCAGGACAGGACCCTCTGCACCTGGCCGGACCCAGGGAAAAGGGCAAACCATTGCAAAACGGCTCATCCCATTACTGGGGAATGAGGCTAGGGTTATGGCAGCAGGCTGTAGTGGTTATGAGGGTTGAAATTACCCTTTAAGTGTGCTGAGCAAATCCTAAAAATTTAATTGTAATGTCTTTAATGCTACCTCACAGGCCCCAGTCACATTCCCTCCAAGATTCCATCAATATGTTGCTACAAATGTAAACAGGTCCTAGGAATTCAGCCTGGAGTTTCTTGACCACCTCAGATAGACTTATTACTCTATTTTTAAGACCTACACAGATCTGGAGATCAACTGAGGGCCTGTTTACCGCTTCCTTACGCTCAAATCATAGCTGTCGATACTTTTGCTCTTGGATTGGCAGTTTGCCGGCTACTGATGATTAATTCAAACGTTTATCACAAAAATTAGTCTGTCTTAGACTCTGTGTGATTTTTATGAAGATGTGTTTTTTTTCACTTGGGGATTATTATGATTTGTTCTAGCTCATTTTGACTAGAGGTTTTGTAAACCAAAGAGAAAAGATAACTTTTTATAATGTCTTACATTAGTAATTTTATATCTATGCGCTGAAAAAAATGGATTATTAAGCATTGACACACACTGAGCACTCAAGAGAGTTCTTGGGAACATATTTCCCCCATTTTGAAAAATAATAACTCTGGTGTAGAGATCATAGAACTTGGTGAGTGGTCTTACATTTCCGATACAAAATAAAACACAGTAGGAAAAAGTTAGTGAGGTCCAGTCATCCCGTGAGTTTCAAAAACCCTGCTCTGACTTTCTTTAACCCCTTAAGGACCAAACCTCTGGAATAAAAGGGAATCATGACATGTCACACATGTCATGTGTCCTTAAGGGGTTAAAGTTCTAGTCCTCACAATAAATAAATTGGGTGCCTTCTCAAAATTGTTGGTTACCAGTAAAATCTTAAGAATGGGGTTTGTGCAGCACAGATAACAGATGTAGTGGTGTCATAAGCATGTGACATTGCTTATACACCCTGTTCCAAATTATTATACAAATTATATTTTTCTCATTTACCTAAATAATTGATGTAAATAACAGTCAGCATAATTCTCATATTATCAACTATTAAGAGTACAATTCAAATTTTATTGAACAAACCTCCTAATGATAACAGTATTTTTTTTTTTTTTTTAAACATAAAAAAACTTACAATGCACTGTTCCAAATTATTACGCACAGTAAGTTTCAAAACACTTTATAGGTTGTAAAGAACTGAAAATTGTCATTTGTTGTGTTTGCAGTATATTTACTGAAATCAAAAGCTATTTCAATCAAACTTATAACAACATTTAAACTTTTTAAACATTTTAACAGGTCACGTTACATTTTAACATAGGACCCCTTATTTGATAGCAGCTTCACAAGTCTTGCATCCATTGAACTTGTGAGTTTTTGGACAGTTTCTGCTTGGATTTGTTTGCAAAATGTCAGAATAGCCTCCCAGAGCTGCTGTTTGGATGTAAACTGCCTCCCACCCTCATAGATCTTTTGCTTGAGGATGCTCCAAAGGTTCTCAATAGGATTGAGGTCAGGGGAGGATGGAGGTCACATAGCAGCCATTGATGCAGAGGTATTCTTTGCAGCACGAAATGGTGCATTGTCATGCATGAAGATGATTTTATTACGGAAAGCATAGTTCTTCCTTCTGTACCAGGGAAGAAAGTGGTCAGTCAGAAACTCCACATACTTTGCAGAGGTCATCTTTACACCTTTGGGACCCTAAAGGGGCAGACCAGCTCTCTTCCCATGAATCCGGCCCAAAACATGACTCTACCACCGCCTTGCTGATGTCGCAGCCTTGTTGGAACAGGGTGGCTGTCCACCAACCATCCACTACTCCATCCATCTGGACCATCCAGGGTTGCACGGCACTCATCAGTGAACAGGACTGTTTGAAAATTAGTCTTCATGTATTTTTCTGCCCAATGCAGCCGTTTCTACTTGTGAGCATTGGTTAGTGGTGGCCGAATAGAAGGTTTATGCACAGTTGCAAGACTCTGGAGGACTCTACACCTTGATGTCCGTGGGACTCCAGAGGCACCAACAGCTTCAAATATCTGTTTGCTGCTATTTAATGGTATTTTAGCAGCTGCTCTCTTGATCCGATGCATGGATCTGGCAGAAATCTTCCTCAATGTGCCTTTATCTGCACAAACCTGTCTGTGCTCTAAATCATCCACAAATCACTTAATAGTGCGATGATCACGCTTAAGTTTTCGTGATATATCTAATGTTTTCATACCTCGTCCAAGACATCGAACTATTTCACTCTTTTCGGCAGCAGAGAGATCCTTTTGATATATCTAATGTTTTCATACCTCGTCCAAGACATCGAACTATTTCACTCTTGTCGGCAGCAGAGAGATCCTTTTTCTTCCCCATATTGCATGAAAATGGTGCTCTGCTTAATAATGTGGAAGACCCTCTTTTAGTAGTTTTTCTTTAAATTGAGCTCACCTGGCAATCTAAATATCACAGGTGTCCGAGATTTGTTTTCAGTGATCAAAAGAGCCCTGAGACACAATGCCATCCATGAGTTAAACTGAAAAACAAAATATTTAATCTTTGTGACACTTAAATAGAATTTGCATAATAATTTGGAACAGGGTGTACATTATTATAGACCCTCAGAGAAACTACCTTCGTTACATGGTAATCACTTGACTACAATGCCACTGCTGGCTGGAAAGAGTAACCTCTGGTTCTTCTAAGTAAATTCCTCTCTAGACAGTTGCTTCTAGATGTTGCCCATAGTCTGACATAAGTTTAGAAAGTTGACATAAAAATGGAAACTAGATTGTTTGCATAATTGGCATAGATATACAATGCAGATAAATAAATGGTAGATTGATCTCAGTGTCCACAGAATATGTCCCTTTAAGATGCTAAAATGTTGCAAGAAGAACAAGGAGGTCGAGCCCAAATTTGGAATTAGACCCGTCTGTTATACTGTCTGTCTTTTCTCTGTACCAAAATCCCCCTAAAGATCTGCAATAAATGTCGGCAATACACGACTGGTAGTCCTAATAGTCACTGTAGTGCTTTTAGACAGTAGCGTCACAACCACCAGTCAGACACCAGATGAAATAAATAATGAATACATTTTTTTGCACACACAACAAGGAATGCATACAGGATTATGTTTGCTCAAGCAACAAGCTTCCAATTATGCAGTATACGCCCAATGACGCCACAGAGTCCATATTGTGCCACTAGTTATATTTTCGCAGGTATATAGTCTGCCACATGCCCCCTGGAATTTTCCAAAATAAGTGCTCTCGATCTGGTGGTATCCTAAGATAGCTCTTCTCAAGACCCATCTACAACCCTAATTAGAAAGATTACAGATTCACAACTGACAGTCATTTTTATGTTTTCCTGGACCTGCTGACCTTCCTCCGTGAGTCAAGTCAAAGATAAATTGTGTAGGCTTTTTGTAATATGATCAGAACGAGCACTTTGGGTGAAGGAATGATCTCTGGAGAAATTAAAATTTTTACACTGTTTCACAAAAACTCAATTGGGGATTTTTAGTACAAACTGGGACAGGTTTAAAAGGGGGTGGAGTAGTGCTATAACGCAAATGTACTATGCGCCATCCATGAAATACAGAAAGATAGAAACTTGTATATTGTGCCTCCTCCATTTAAAAATGGATCAGAAATATAACATTAGGTTCTTTCCTTTAGACGCATCTTGCATCTTTCTTGATGGAAACATTTCCTTACCGCCCACCAGTTTTCGCACAAGTGCGGTATATTTTTTAGAAAGGAGGGTGTTTTAAAAAAAAAAAAAGTACGTACATTTATCTTTTCATTTCTACTTAATGCATGTTTATAATGTTTTTAACTTTATAAAGTTTTTTTTTTATAATTCTTTATTTTATCGTGCACAAAGAATACAAAGAGGCAGGCAATGCCACAACAGCTATTGCCAGCTTTTAGGTCAACATCAAGAGACTTTTGTTGGCATATCAAAACATTGCACATTTTATGTTATAATGTAGATTTATCAAAAATTGGATCGACATGTCAGTTATAAGATAAGGCAGACTAAATACTGATTTAGATTAACGAACTGACTGTTTGTAAGAGTGGAGGGTCACTAGCTTAATTAAGGCTTATCTTACTTGTGTGGGTTAAAAAAAAGCATAACTAAGGTAAACAAACTAGGTTACTGCTTTTAGAAAGTAAATTTTAACGTTGCACATTTTTTAGTTAATACATGAGTATAAGAACAGGCTAAGTCTGAAGCTGCTATGGTGGGTTATGTAGGTTGAGTTATGGTTCATTTCAACGTTGTTACACATAGCTCTACAGCATATGAAAAAAAGGTGTGCTTTGCTACCGGTTTGGTACATGGTTAAGCTAGTGTTGAGAGCTAAGGCTGAATAATTACAGTGGGTTAGTTAGTGTGTTCAAGTTTACATTGCACATCTTTCTTTTTTTTTTTTTCTTCCCCTCCCCTTTTTTCCTAATAATGAAGTATTCAGTAGGCTAGTGATCAAGGTCTAGGCTGTGTTTTCATTCTTTGTTACGTGGGGCTGTGTTTTCTAGACTGATAATAGGTTAATACAAGTATAATAGTAGAAATACAACATGCTTTGGTTTGAGCTTTATAAACTGTGGGTGCAGATAGTGTATAGTTGGATAACTGCTTGTGATGTCCCCCCTGTGATCCTTGGGTAAGCTAAGTTAGGGTTATAAATTCACTGGAGCATGTTTGCCCTATTGTGCCATCCGGGGTCGTGAGTGTGTTGTAGATAATTTACTGCAAACCAATTAGTTTGAATGACTATCTGTTCCTGTCCAAATTAAAGATAATAAAGTTGCGTGCACGCAGAAGTAAATTCACACTGAGACACAAAGTTCAGGTTAATGAAAGAACTTCGGAGAAGTTTAATGGCTTCTGACAGAAAATGGGTGCGCAGACCCTTTTAAAGGCATTATTACATCATTGAAGAAAATCAAGATATAGACAAATAGACATTGTTAATTGTGCTAAGATGTTAGTAAAATGCCCTCCCTATGGGGTGTACCATCTTAAGTCACTATCCACGTCATGATTATCTCCTCCAGGTTTTAGCGCCATTTTGCTAACATGAGGAGCTCACTCGACGGGAGGGGCCTTTTGGCAGCTATCCATTTAGAGCGTAGCTGGCACTTGTTAGTTTCTCAAGGTTAGGTTTCAAGGCTTTTAGTAAATACACATTTTATCAAAGCTATTTCTTGCTGGCATGCAAATTCTATGTTCTATAGACAAAGCTTTCTTGTAAAACTATGGGGGCCTCTTAGAGGTATAGCAAGAGGATTTAAAGGGGCCTTACAGATTTATAGAGGCCTAATAATTCTACAACAGTCCCCCCTAAAATGTTATTTGCTAAAAGACAAAACTTTATTTGTTAGTATCGGAAGATGTGTTAGCCCAAAGACACAGAAACCCCATGACCGCTGACTTAGTGTTAATGCAAAGTGCAAGTCTATCCCTCTCTTGACCCTAACAGGCTGCAGCACATCCATCAGTACGGTTCAGGAACACTCTTCACTCCGCTGGTAACCCATAGTGGCTTATCCACTACTTCTCCGTACGGCAGTCTACCCATAAAGACGGACGCTGTCCCTTTACTGTCCCTTCCTAGACTTTCTGCACTTCATCAGTATAAGGGAGAGTTTGTAGCGGAATACAGGGTGAGGTGAGATCTTGATCATCGATTGTCAGATGAGTGAAGGTTGGTGTTGCTTGGTCTACGGTTTTCTGCAGGAATTTCCTTAGGCATGGGAGGACACAACAAATGAGAAGAGCGAGAATAAAAAGAAAAATTAGTAAGGCAATACCAATCTGGACTAAAGCTCTCTGCCAACCCGTCATCCAACCAAACCATTTTTCCCAGGGATCAGTAACTCCAGAGTTTCTCTTTAACTCTTCAGAGAGTCTATTTAATTTAGCTATGGCCAGACTGACTTTACCATTAGGACCTGTGTTTTCTGGAATGTAAGTGCAACAAGTCATAGTGTCGGGTAGTATTTTACAGACCCCCCCCTTTTCAGCTAAGATCATGTCTAAGGCCAGTCTGTTCTGGAAGGTCATTTGGGATGTGGCCTGTAATTGCTCGGCCAAGCCCTGGAGGGCATCCCTGGTGTAGTTCACGAAGTGCTGTTGGTTGTAATAGATATAATTAATCCAATTAAGGTTTTTGTTGGCAGTGACTATGGTAAAAAGTGATTCAAAACCTACAGCTACTTCATCTCTAGCTTTAAATTCATTAGGCACCCCCCTAGGTACCCCAATGGCATCTATGTAAATGTGGGGGTCAAAACTGCCTTTTACTGGGGTTTCGCGCCTCACTCTGGCTGGTGTATGTGGAGGGTCGTATGTGTCATGATGATTATCAGAAATAATATGAATGGGCATGATAACTTTGGCTAGGGTACACTCACCCCACCACTCAGTTTCCAGCCTAGATCTTAACTGTAGATCCCCACATAACCAGTAAATATCCCCCAATGACCTGGTATGGTGTTGCAACAGGCGTATAGGAACAGTTCTGTAAGTGGCGCAATAACCTTTAGAAAAATTACCCATGAATTTACCAATCCCGTCATACATGGCATAACAAGTGTAATTACCTCTATAGACTGTGATTCCATCTGGTGGCTTAACATTTTCAACTAAGAGAGGGTATTCTGCCGTCCATGCCATGCAGAGGGACCTATCAAAGTCATATTGGTAGGCAAAAAGGCTTAAGAAGCAATCTTCTATCTCTAAAGGGAGAATTAAGGTGGGGTCGGGCACCGCCACATACATAACATGCTGTTTTGTTATGTTTATTAGCATTATATTTCATCCACTCTAACCACAAATTAATGTCATTGAATCCAGTTTCAGCGGCCATGGTATCTTCAAAAGTGGGGTTAGCGATGGCCATTATATCTTTAAAGGACTGGATATGTGGTTTTAGCGGATTTGGGACCATATGATCAGCCCCTTGCCACTCTGGAGAGTGGTACATATCTCTGAGGTAGAAATGACCTAATTTGTTGTAGGAACCTTTCTTCCAATACATTCCCATTACATATCGGTCTGCATCCTCGGGGCCAGGATGTTCAATATTTAACATTAATTTCATAGGGGTACTTCCTCCAGGCTTTCTTAAAGTCATTCTTTGAAGGAGGGATCTACCCTGATTGTCTATCTTAGATAAAGCACTTTTGGGTTTATAACCCCAGGCAGGCCCAGTATTCCATCCCGCAGCCCCCCAGTAGTTACAGTCATAACCCCATTGTTCATCTACTACACAAACGTAAGGGTCTTTTGCTTGTGGTATATCTTTATAAATGGCTTGAATCTGTGACTTAGGGAATGGGCATTCTACAATATCACAGTAATCAAAGGTGAATGTAGCCACGTGGGTACATGATGAATTATACCAGAAAGTGTACCCACTAGCATCTTTGGTGATGGCCACCTGCTGGGCTTTAAGGAGGCCAACTAAGGAGATAATGTACCAGAGGCACATGGTTGCATAGAGTTAGCTTCCTCTGGGGCAGGTGTCTTCTTGCAATGGGAAGCGTGGATCCAGTTAGGCCTTCCGGCCAATTTGACAGAGGAAGGGGAGATCAGGAGAACTTGGAACGGTCCGTCAAATCTTGGTTCCAGGGTGTGTTTTCGCACAAATTTCTTGACCAGAACCCAGTCACCAGGGAGCAGACTGTGGTTGCCCGTATCAGAATCAGGATCTGGAATTGAAGAGAAAACTTGGGCATGGATTTTGTTTAAAGCATTTGCGGGTTCAGTTACATAATCTACTAAAACATCAGTTTGAAGTTGTAGTTGTTGGGGAAAATAGCAACCTAGCCTAGGTGCAGTCCCAAATAGAATCTCATATGGGGACAGTGAGGTAGTATTTTTGTACAAGAGCATTCATTAGATCCTTTGATAAATGTGCAGGTCCGTGTGCCCATTGTACGACTGCTGGGTACAAATTCTTAGGGAGGCAGAATCTGAGATTGTTGTAATACACTCCATCTCTTAGAACTGCCCCTTTCTGTTTCCACTTCTGTATTTCTTCAGGGGCAACTGTAGCCTGTTGTTCCCGCAGGATTTTTAGGTCAGTTGGAAGAGTCTGCAGAGTAAATATGGGAGTTTCTTCATTTCCGGATACTCTTCTTTCCACTTCCTGTGGTTCTCTTGCAGCTTGTTTTGCAGCCTGATCAGCTAGATGGTTGCCCTTTGCTTCATCTGAGTCCAACTTCCCATGTGCTTTTATCTTCAAAATAGCCACTTCTTCTGGGAGTAGGAGGGCGTCCATCAGCTCATTGATTGCGGAACCGTGCTTGATTGGTGTACCGGCGGTGGTAAGAAATCCTCTTGTTTTCCAAATTAATCCGAAGTCGTGAGCCACGCCCAGTGCATATCTTGAATCCGTGTAGATATTGGCGCGCTTTCCTTCAGAGATCTTGCATGCTGAAGTCAGGGCTTGTGCAGACATAGTTGATGGTAAAGATGATGATTTGACAATTTCATCTGTTGTGGTTACGGCATATCCTGTATGGTATCTTCCTTCTTCATCAGCATATCTTGAGCTGTCCACAAACAGGGTGAGATCGGGATCTACCAATGGGTCTTCATGCACAGTTGGTAGATGTGTTGTTTCCATTTTCATCTGTTCAAAACAGTCATGAGGTGTATCTGGGTCGTAGTCATTCACTATGGTTAAATCTTGGAACTCATTTTCCAGGAAATGACGTGGCCATGCTTTTAGGTGGTCAGTTGTTGGATATTTGACAACACCATTTTCCTGTAGCTGTGATTCGTCCATAGTGGCCCATGCTTTTGCCATAGGCCCAAGATCATTCCATGATATTGTTTTCAACTTGGTCACAGGGACATGTGGAATGGCAGTGTCCCAATGACGGTACAAATACTTAAGTTCCGGAGGTAGATGAATCAAGACCATACTGTTGCCTTCAGAATCACAGTAGAAGTCTTGTGCAGTGAGTTTTACTTCGACCAGATGATAGAGTTCATCTTCATAGCAGGGTTCAGGAGTGATGTTTGGTTTGTACCACATGGTACAGAAGGCATATCCTGCTCCGTCATGAAGGAGTGCTTGTCCATCATGAAAGGATAGGTTGGGATGCATTTCCTTCTTGATGGTGCCAGTGAGAAGAAAAACATAAGTTTCGTCCATGATGAATCCGTAGTATACACCCCCCTCAGGGAGTGGCAGAAGAGTGGACGGATTGAGAACTTGACATCTTTGGAGGGTAATGTTGTCAGGCAACAAAAGATGACATTGAAGGCGAAGATGTCTAGCAGGAGTAACATGCTTAAGTTGGACCTGGTTGACTATGGCAGAAATGTCATGAGGGGCCAAGACAACCAGGGGGTGGCCAAGGACAAGATCACCAGTTCTTTCAATGAGCTCTCTGGCAGCAAAGACGGCCCGAAGGCAAGAGGGACATCCTCTGGCCACAATATCCAGTTGGCAGGAGAAAAATCCAATAGGCCTTTGGCGGCCTCCAGGACCATGGGCCTGAGTGAGCACTCCTGTTGCATGGCCTTGTCTTTCAGAAACAAACAATTTGAAGGGTTTGGTATAGTCTGGTAGGCCAAGAGCAGGAGCAGAAGCAATAGCACGTTTGAGAGAACAGAAGTTGTCAAGGGCTTCTGTGGACAAGCAAAATGGGTCTGACTTGAGAGCATCATAAAGAGGTTGCATAAGGAGCGAGGCTTCAGGGATCCATGCTCGGCAATAGGAAATGAGGCCTAGGAAGGCGTGTAGTGACTTCGAGGTCCTTGGAGGTGGAATGTCCAGTACTGCTCTAACTCGGTCACGGGTAAGATGTCTGGTTCCCTGAGACAGACAATGGCCAAGGAAGATAACAGTAGGTTGGCAGAATTGCAGCTTGAGACGTGAAGCTTTACATCCTTGTTCTGCTAGGTAGCAAAGAAGATTAAGTGAGCATTGTTCTGTTGTGGGTAGATCATCTCCACAAAGCAGCAAATCATCCACATATTGAAGCAGGACGACCTCAGGATGGTCAGATTGCCATGGATCAAGGATAGAGCACATGGCCTTCGCAAATTGACTTGGTGAATTTTGTGCCCCTTGGGGCATGACAGTCCATGTGTACTGTTGTTTTTCATGTGTGAAAGCAAACAGATATTGGCAAGTTGGATCCAGGGGAACACTGAAGAAGGCATTGGCCAGATCAATGACTGTGAAGTACTTGGCAGAGGGTGGAACGCCGGAAAGGAGAGTGTGTGGGTTGGGCACTATTGGAGTGTCCAAAACTGTGGCTTCATTTACCGCTCTGAGGTCTTGGACCAATCTGTACTTTTCAGGTTCGCCTTTTGGAGTCTTTTTCTTTACCGGAAATAATGGAGTATTGCATGGTGATTCACATTTGACAAGAGCACCCTTCTCCAGGAGTGCTTGAATTTGAATTGTAATGGCTGCAGCTTGAGCTGGTTTCAAAGGATACTGTGATTTTCGTGGCAATTTTACGCCTGGGATGAGCTTTACCACCACAGGCGGGACCTTTAGATGGCCTATGTCCTCTGGGCCTGTGGACCACAGCTTCTTGGGAACATCAGTCTTTAGTGAATCAGGGAAATTAGTCCTTAGGTCTTTTGCATCCCCATGAGGCTCTTCTAGATGTAGCATCAGGGGTAAGGAGCACAAAGCTGAGGTGTCTGAGACAGATAGAGGGGTGGATAGTTCCACTTGTCCATCTGGAGTAAAGGTGATAGATGCCTGCAGGCATGAAAGAACATCAGCTCCTAACAGGTTAATGGGGCATGTGGAAGATACCACAAAGCGAGCAAGCAAGTTGTGGCAGTTACCAACCCGCAGTGGGGTGGACAGGGGACTTTGCCTTGGAAGGCCGTCCACCCCAACACAGGAGACATCAATATTGGAAAGAAATGAGGTATCGGGCAGGTCTTGTTCTCTCAGAACACTTCGGGCTGCACCTGTGTCAACTAGGAAAGTGGTGGGCTGGCCCTCAATGGGTAAAATTACAGTAGCTAGAGGCCCCCCTTGTTCCCCTGAAGACACTGCCATAACAGGGGTTAATGACACAGGCTTGCTGGTGTCCTAGTCTTCTTGGGCTGAATCAGGTGAAGGGGTTTCTGGGGCCTTCGTGGTAGTGGCGGGCTTGGAAGTTTGTTTGCCAGCGTATGGCCTCCGGTGTTTTATGGGTTCAGGGCAGTCACTTCTAAAATGGCCTTTCACCCCACAATTAAAGCAAATTCCATCCTCAGGCCTAGTGCCTCTGGGAATCGGCGGGCGTGATACCATAAGGGGGGTGGGATTGGATCTTCTTGGCACCTGTGCTGCCTCCAAACCTCTGGCAACTAAAAGCAGCTTATCAAGGGAAACCACTCTATACTCAGGGCGGGCAGCAATAATACCTTTCCGTATAGAGTCTTTGATGCCCTGTACAAAGGCACCAGAAAGCATTTGGGCATGTATTTTATTGCTAAGTTCAAACCCTAGGTCAGAGAATACTTGAAAGAGTCTAGCGTGAAACCTCTCTACGGATTCACCTTTTTCCTGGACAATATCATTAAGTCCGGCTGCCTGATCAGCAAGTTTATCTTTGGCCCAAGTTTTTAGCTGATCACAAAACTCAATTCCGGACGTATAATCAGTATCACTTGACAACCAATTAGTGCATAGGTGGCGAGCAATGCTAGGCCAGTAGGCATCTCCAGCCTTAATGGCACAGAGGCTCAGCAAATCACACCATGCGGCGGAATAGGTCTGTTGAATCTGGACCACTGCTCTGTAAAAGGGCATAGGTTGCTTTTCTGGGTCAGGGAGTGACTTCATCAGGGCACTGGCCTGTGTTGGGTTAAAGGTAACATACATTACCGGGGCTTTGTCCCCTTGAACCTTGCGACCAAAGGGATGTTAAGAGAACGTCGCGGAGGTCTGGTGGGGACTGGTAACCATGGGAGCTTACCGTGTCAAATTCATCTGCATGTGCTATCCGGGCTCCCGGGGAGGGAACTACCTGTGGTGACAGGGCCGGGGGTAGAAGGGGCACTCCACCAGCCGGGGCTGCTGGTGAGCTATGGGTTGGAGGTAGCAGATCATTCGGAAGAACGGGCATAAGAGGGGCTATGTTACTGGGGGACGCCATATTGGAGGCGTGGAAGGAAGTTGCGCTCGGGTTAAGTGAGGAAGTGGCGGCCATATTGGATGTGGGCAAAATGTGGGCAGGTGTAATCGGGGTCGGCTGTGTGATTATGGGAGGTACGGGATAGGCTGGCTCGGGAGGTGGAAGTGTGGAATAGGCATAGGCTAAGGGCCAAGGCATTTGGGCGGGCGTATAGGCAGAATAGGCGTAGGGCGGTGGCGGTGGGTAGGGATTAGGGAGAGGATGTGACGGGGAGGGGGAGGGACTGGGAACGGGTGGAGTAGGAGGAGCTGGAGGAGTGGGAGGAGGAAAAGGTGGAGTAGGAGGGTCTGAGAGTACGGAAGAAGGAAGTAAGGGAGTAGTAGGAGGAGGAGAAAATGGAGAGGGTGGGTCGGTAGGAGGGGAGGAGGAAGATGAATAGGCAGGTGGGACGGCAGGAAAGGACGGGCGGGAGGAGGGCATGTTGGAGGGGTGCAATGGACTGGAGGAAGATGGGCGCGGTAAAGGAAGGGATGAGGATGATGGGAGTTGGGAGATCGATGGAGGGGAAAATACAGATCCATCGGCATTCAGGACAGGGCAAACAGGGGTAGTGACAGGAAAAGGGGTGGCCACCTCATGTGCGCCATAACTAGGCGCGTGCTGGGGAGAATTTCCAGCGACAAAATTCTTATGATACACAAACATTTTCACACCCTTGTAATCAACCTCTTGTTCAATCCATCCCTCTTGCTGGATGGCTTTGGCTACTCTGTACCAGGCTTCCGCTGTGCGGACTAAATCATTGTCCATTAACTTGCCTTTCTTCTCTGTCAGTATCTTACGCCAGCTTTCTGGCTGCAATCTACCACACGGGGGTACCGTGATTCCACATACTTTAGCAATCTTATCAACCTTCTTAACCATCTCTTCACCTTCCCTATCTTCTACCAAGTCTTGTGCTAGCCAACCCTTATCGGGTTTTCCCAGTTTCTGTCCCATATTCCCTATACAAGGCGTCCCAGATATAGAGAGCGAAAGGAACAGAACGTCTACCGTGCTCGACTGCTACTGTAAGAGCAAGCTCTTTAAGTACGTCTTACCAAAACGTAGACTACTCACTGATTCCGCCTACCCGTGGTAGCCGCGGATTGGAGCGTGGCGAGAAGTGTGTGACCAATCACTTCTCTCAACAGAGAAAGAGAAATAGGAGGGGAAAGTGTAAATAGTACAGTGAGTAAGATAAAAATAAACACAGGAATCTGTGTGACAGACAATTAAGACAATAACATTTCAGTGTAAATACAGTGCATGCATCACAGTTCAAATAAGTTCAACAGTTTTATCCCTTGCCTTTACTCGTGTGGCCAAAAGCCACCTCCCTCAACCTCGTAGTGTCCCTGTTGCGGACCCACCCGCAAGTCTCACTACCAGCAGCCACAGGAAACAGCAACAGCTTCCAACCCGAATCCTGTATAGCCTAAAGAATTGGAATCTTACCTGCCTCAGCGCTCGAGGCTGGAATTTTACCAAGAAGAAGTGTCCGATGAGGCTAGCTAAGCGGTCAAAGTGACACTATGGGGAACCCCCAGGAAGCAGTGAGTCTACCACCCTCCACAGATTCCCCCTACTCTTTTTCCTTACAGCCACAGCTACGTGGCTCCTAAAAGAGTTAAACAGGCACTTACACTCCCCGGGTGCTAAGTTAAACACAAACCAATACAAAAAACACACCCAGGCAACAGATAGTCAACATGCAGGTAAACTAGGTATCATTAACAATACAAAGACTCTGGGCAAGTTATTACCTGACTTTGATGTCCTCTCGGTAGCAGTCACAGACACTGGGACAGGTCAATCACAGGGGCAGGAACATACCGGCTAGGTGCTGCAGCAATCTCTACCGTGTATTCAGAGGTGATCAGGCTCTTTTCCTTCCCCCAGGATTCAGCCCCCCCAGCGTCTTCTTGGACAGCTGCCCAGGCAGGACATAGCCCAGAGCCCCACGTTATGGCGCCAGCTGTTGTAGTTGATTTACTGCAAACCAATTAGTTTGAATGACTATCTGTTCCTGTCCAAATTAAAGATAATAAAGTTGCGTGCACGCAGAAGTAAATTCACAGTGAGACACAAAGTTCAGGTTAATGAAAGAACTTTGGAGAAGTTTAATGGCTTCTGCCAGAAAATGGGTGCGCAGACCCTTTTAAAGGCACTATTACATCATTGAAGAAAATCAAGATATAGACAAATAGACATTGTTAATTGGCTTAGGTGCTAAGATGTTAGTAAAATGCCCTCCCTATGGGGTGTACCATCTTAAGTCACTATCCTCGTCATGATCATCTCCTCCAGGTTTTAGCGCCATTTTGCTAACATGAGGAGCTCACTCGACGGGAGGGGCCTTTTGGCAGCTATCCATTTAGAGCGTAGCTGGCACTTGTTAGTTTCTCAAGGTTAGGTTTCAAGGCTTTTAGTAAATACACATTTTATCAAAGCTATTTCTTGCTGGCATGCAAATTCTATGTTCTATAAACAAAGCTTTCTTGTAAAACTATGGGGGCCTCTTAGAGGTATAGCAAGAGGATTTAAAGGGGCCTTACAGATTTATAGAGGCCTAATAATTCTACAAAAATGGCAACTTAGAATTTTTAATCTAACTTAACTTTTTTTGTGGTTTAACACATTATCCCCTTTTCCAAATGTATTTTTATTTTTTATTTTTATATCACTCCTTCTGATTTACATACTGTTAAGTCACACATATATACATTATGCAAATTAGTATGGCCGGTATTTTTTTCTAGGATAGGTGGCAACCCTAGATGTAGCCCTGACAGGAAGGGTGGGCCAAATTTTGATTAGGTGTGTGCCCAAGTCTAGTCATGCCTAGAGCAACACAAAACCAAAATACACCACTGCTTACACCCATACATACATTTTTATTGTATTATTTATTTTGTATCATCCAGCCTCTCTGTTGTTGGCTTTAAAGGGAGAGCTGGAATGAAACATCCTCCATATTGTCCAGTGTGGAGCTGCAAGAATCTCTTTCTTTATGAATTACCCAGCCAGCTGCATCTCTGTACCAATGCCGTGACTGGGGTGATATTATATCCCAGCTCCAATAAAAGTAAAGGTTGCAGGAGGGAGCTGGGAAATCAGAATAGTGTAATGCCCATGCAGCCTGCACTGCAGGCACCTTGGAATCAATTTGGATGTTTCGCCTCTACGTATAAAAGTATAGGAATCAGCATTGTCACACAAAAGTATATATTTTTAGTGATGTATTTAAGGCTGGTTTGACACTTTTCATTTGATTATTTCTGTAAAAGGCAAATGCTCACAAAAAATAAAATAAAAATAAATCAGCTATAGTGACAGTTTAGTTATTGTAAACTAATTATTGCATATCTGTGTTTAGTACATATGCCCATTGACACTGATCTCTCTCTGACAAACATATTAACCCTCATAGCTCTATACAGTGTCCACCCCATAGCAGACTGTGATATTAAGGAAGTGAATATTGGCTGAATACCCCTCCCTGCACCGATCTCCAGCATGGTTCTCTCTCTATATCTATATATATGTGATTTCTAAACACATCATGCTGCTGAAAAAGAATGGAACGCAGGTGGAACGCAAACACGGAAGTAAGAGGAAAGTCAAGCATTGCCCCAGAGGCCGATGGGACCGGAAGTTTATATATTTGTTTATCCACACGGGGGCGCTCTGACCCAGAACACCTGAGCAGAGCCAAACTGGAACGCAAACCGGAAGTGCTCTGGGGTGAGTGTCAGGAAGGGAAGCGGAGAGCCCGGGCCCTGCAGTGTGTGGAGGGCTGTTTTATTTTCCTTAATGCCAGAAACATGCCCTATCCGCCGCAATACGCAGGGGCAGTGAGTATTTAGTATTTACTGATATCACACTGTATGGGACTGTGTAACATTCTATTTATTAATATCAGCATGTTTGGGGCTGGGTTTAAATACACGGCAGCCCGTGTTTAGGATAAACTAAAGTACTTGTTCTTTAAATAGTCTGTGTACTCAGTGCTTTACTATAAGAGGGTATCATTCCTCCTGGTCACCCCTAATGTACCCTGAAAATACCCTCCATTCTTTATATGGAATGTACCCTGAAAATACCCTCCATTCTTTATATGGAATGTACCCTGAAAATACCCTCCATTCTTTATATGGAATGTACCCTGAAAATACCCTCCATTCTTTATATGGAATGTGCCCTGAAAATACCCTCCATTCTTCATATGGAATGTACCCTGAAAATACCCTCCATTCTTTATATGGAATGTACCCTGAAAATACCCTCCATTCTTTATATGGAATGTACCCTGAAAATACCCTCCATTCTTTATATGGAATGTACCCTGAAAATACCCTCCATTCTTTATATGGAATGTCCCCTGAAAATACCCTCCATTCTTTATATGGAATGTCCCCTGAAAATACCCTCCATTCTTTATATGGAATGTCCCCTGAAAACACCCTCCATTCTTTATATGGAATGTCCCCTGAAAACACCCTCCATTCTTTATATGGAATGTACCCTGAAAACACCCTCCATTCTTTATATGGAATGTACCCTGAAAATACCCTCCATTCTTTATATGGAATGTGCCCTGAAAATACCCTCCATTCTTTATATGGAATGTACCCTGCCAATACCCTCCATTCTTTATATGGAATGTACCCTGAAAATACCCTCCATTCTTTATATGGAATGTACCCTGAAAATACCCTCCATTCTTTATATGGAATGTACCCTGAAAATACCCTCCATTCTTTATATGAAAATAATATATGTACCCTGCCAATACCCTCCATTCTTTATATGTAATGTACCTTCCAATATCCTCCATTCTTTATATGGAATGTTCCCCTGTCATTGCCCTCCTCTATCTGAGTGATATTCAACCAGTCCAAACCAAGGCTGGTGAATGATAACCTCTGAATGGACATCATTACATATACAAAGATGCTACAAAAAAGTAACAATTATCTGCACATTAGCTCCTCGTATTTTCTGCCTCTTTGCTGAATCTATGGGACAGTACATGCTGTAATCCATTCCCAAATCACTCCTGTTCACAAACAGAAAGCATGGCACCCACTGATGTACATTTTATCTGAGACTGATATTTCGTTATTTAAGATGCACTTGTTATGACAGTTGTTCATATCACTTTATAGGGCATAGCATTTGATCACATTGTGCTGGACAAATAAAGGTATATTTGAAAATGTATTTAAAGGAACACTGTACACACGTAAATCATTTAAGCTTCCTGAAGTGCTTTATGTGTCTGGAGCCAATCACATTTGTGACAATTTATAAAAATGCAGATTTAAATAGAATTCAGCACTTTAGAATTAGGGGCAGGAACACCTGCCTGATTGTAAATCAAAAAGCCAGTGAGGTGTCCTTCGGCTAGCTCCATGGAGCTAATAAAAGTGGCAGGTTTGCTGTGCTAGCAGGTACCTGCCTTTGCTACTGCTCACTGAGAAGCATTGGAAAGTGTTCACACGTACTTGCGGCTCCAGCACAGAGCCTTCTCAATGGGGACCCTCTAGTTGAAGTATTCCCCAGCACAGACTGAAGAAAAGGAGAGGGCTTGCAAGGGATCTATTTTTAGATATACTCCTTCCACAATTAAAAAAAATACATAAATAAATGCATGCATGTTTCACTGGGGGTATATCTAATAAATAGTAATTTAAAAAATATTAGGTGGCAATGGAGGTGTGACGAGAGCAATCTCGCCACATTGCATTGGAGAAGCCTGGTTGCTTGCCTGTTGCCTTTGTATTATGGCCCCATGTTAAAAGGCTTGATTTTCCCCTGCAAAGACAAGAAAGCTGGGTCATTTGGTGCTTGCCCTGTTTGAGCAGTGATACCCCAGATAGCTATGCCATGGAGCCCATTCGTATAATGAAAGACTATGGGAAAGACTTTGGCTCCATGGCAATTGAACTGTATGTGTGTGCTCTGAGCGCCATTCAGTAATAATGTGCGCTCAGTGCTAAGCTATCTGGGCATATGTTGCATGTCTGTATTTTATGTCATAAATGTAACCTTGTGTATTTTATTGTATTTTACTGTCTTTTTGCTGCCATGTGTTCATTGGAGTTTTGCCTCTGTCTTTGGAGATAATTGGATTACTTCTAATTATCTCCAGGATAGAAGACTCTGTGGAACTGGTTTTGGGCAGAAAAGCCATGCTTCCTGTGGTCACAAAGGACTACGATCTATCTTTTGAACCACTGGACCAATTGGTATGATTTTGACGTATGTTTGTATTTGGAGTATGCTGATTCTGAAAATGTGTGTATGTGAATGTGATGCATACTTTTCAAGTTATGAATAATGTGGAAAAATTTTATTTCTCTGTTTGTGCTAAATTACATTACCCATTGTGTAAGGTAATTGAATCACTTGCAGAGGGGAGGAATTTGTGTGGGAGTGTCTGAGTGTATTGTATGTGTTTATTGGTTGTGTTCCAAAACCCTGTGGGTGGTACTAATGTTTAAGAATGTGTACATAAGCACAATAAACCCACAGCTCTGTCTGTTCAATGCTTGACCCTCAACACGGAGCTTTGTCTCGTTCTTGGGGGGATTTATTGTATGCTGTTCCAGTTCGACTGCTAGGAGTGTAAACCTATTTGTATGTTTTTTCCTATTCGGATGTTTCGATCGCCTAAACGGTTTTTACCCCTTGTGTGCAAAACGGTCCGTTACAGGAGGGTTCTGTTTTTTTTTTGGTTATCTAAGAGGAGAATTGGATTGGACCATCACCTTAGGAGGCCATGCCTCCTTCCTGATGTCGCAGGAAGTGGAAAGGCGAGCAACATAGAGGGTATCCTGGCTTTAGAAAAAGGCGATTTTTAAACACTTTGTTTCGTTTTGTTTTTTTAAATATGGAGGGCAGCTGTATCTAACTAGGAACATGGGGCCCGATAGTGTTAGGAATACAAACTCGTTTTCCTGACACTATAGGGTTAATAGGTTAAAACCCCTTTATCCACTTACCTTAATCCAGTGGCTGGCTCCATCAGAGCTGGTGACCTCTCCTCCCCCTGCCGACTTCAGCTCCCGAGTGGAGCCGAATGCACGTGCAACCACAGCCACGGGCGCATTCAATCCCGTCCATAGGAAAGCATTACTCAAGGCTTTCCTATGGGGATCTGAAATGACTCTGGATTCCGTGAGGACGTCCAGAGTCATCTCAGTGCGATTTTCTCACTGAGAATTGCGGAAGCTATATTTTCAGCTGCAGGCTTAAAACTAGGGGGACCTTCATTGAGCCGAAGTGGCCTGGGTGCCTATAGTGGTCCTTTAAATATATCCATTCAATGGTGATTTTAATAGGTGAACCTGGCATCCACACAATAAGTGGAACAGGTCCACTGAAAAACAAAGAAATGGAAGCTGCCAAAAGTATCCATTCAATGGCTTGAGTGGTCTTAATTTTATAATTATTTATTTCTTTTAAGAATTAAAAGCCATGTAACTGTGATATAATGGCTCTCTATAGAGGTTTAGTGAGAATACTAGTGCCACTACTGTTTCTTTTCCCCTTTCTGTCACTGTAGTTATCCCTCTTTTTATTGTGTAAGGTTCCTGAATATTAGTCACGTTCATTTTTTATTATTTTTCTCTTTTATCTCATTGCTGGCCCTCATTTCTGCTTGTCTTCTCATTGTGTCTATTCTATTTACTGTGCATATCTCCTGTGCAGTGTATACCTTGCTTGTGAAGAGTTCAGTGGCCAAAAGATGATTTATTCCACCGTTTTTCCTCCCAAGAGCGTGCACTCTTTTCTTCCAATAAATAAAGGCTCTTTACTTGCCTTTCAACCCTTGTCACAACGGTTTCCACACTTTTGCCCTGCCTCCCAGACAATATTGAGGATCTCAGCCTATCCAATATAATTTCCCATAGGTGAGGCTAGTGTGCATGCGCGACAATCAAATGCTCTTTATGTCTCTATGAACAGTATTTGATTTAGAACAGAGCCTGATTCGGTGCTCATGAGGTAAGTGCTTCTAGAGCAGGGGTTCTCAACGTTAGTCCTCGGGACCCCCTACCAGTCCAGGGTTTAGGGATTACCTAGGTGTGTCTAAGGTGTTTAGAAAAAGGGGGAAAAAAACACCTTAGAGTCTAAAGTGTTTTTTTCCCTTTTTCTAAACACCTGAGACACACCCAGGTAATCCCCAAATCCTGGACTGGTAGGGTGTCCTGAGGACTGGGTTGAGAACCCCTGTTCTAGAGGTTGTCTGGCAGGCACTCGAAATTTGTTAACCTTACAATGATCGCATTATTGTATGTACTGAACTTCAATATTTTAGATTTTATTTAAAACTAAAGGACCACTGCACCTCAGACCATTTTAAATGGCATGGCCTGGGTGCCTTCAGTGGCAATTTTAACCATTATTGGTTTTATCTATCAGTTACATGCAATTGATTCAGATGATTGCTAATTATCTTACTAGTGTTTTCCTGTCTATTTTTAATTTACTTTTTAATACATAGTATCCAGCTTGATGTTTTTGAATTGGCAAATTTCGCTGGTTTTACCGTGAGATCATCGAGAGTAGAAGCAGGCCAATCTATTCTTGGTGTCCGTTCGGCCTGTTTTCAACTTCAGTAAACTGGTAGGTAAAGATGTTTTCATTATGAATGTTCATAAATCACTCTGTTTATTTTTTCGAATATTTAAGTTGTTTTGTTTTTTTTCTTTTCCACTGAACGCTGTAATATCACTGATCAATTTCAAGATTTGATTCCCTAGAATACATACTTTTACCTTGACTGTACTTGAAGGAAAAAAGGGGTCGCAAGAGTATCTAGTAAAGGGTAATCCAGACGTGGACCCCTTGCTCACAGTGCCTAGAGAGATATCAGCTATGCCTCACTGACGATGCCTAACAAGGCTGAAACGATCGTCTGGGGTTGCTGTATCTCTCGTGCAGAGAGAACTTGCTGGCATTTCGGATCTGGACTGCCCATATGGGTGGGACCAGTCTGATATGCTTCAGATATGTTCTCTCTGTAATGGCACAAGATGAGCTAAAACCAGCTTGAGTTCTGAGTGGGGACCCACCGAAGGGCAGGCTATTTTAGCTGCTGTCCATCCTCAGAATACTCTTGCGACCCATTTTTTGCTGTACTTGAAAGAAATATGTACAGTGACAGTCTCAAACTTCTCTTTGATCCATCAGCAGGTCCTAGTCATCTTATAGTTAACACCCCCTCCCGTTGCACACAATGTTAACAGTATTGTAATGTTTCTAGAAATTAAACATACAATCTATCTCCTTGATTGCAGAAGTCCATTTAGAGATAATCCATTACTGAGTCATGAACAAAAACAGAAATCAGAAGATTTTGGATCTTACCCTGGAGATTATTTACCTGGTGACTGGAGAGGTGAGGGATTCTGGTAATGGCAACAGTATCTTTTGCATCATTCTTGTGGTTATACATATTTTAGTTTTAGAGTGAATGTAACAAAAGCTAAATATCTGTGTACTTAGAAGGGCAGAAAAAGCAAGCCAATTTTGTGAATAATGTTAAACAAAACACTCAAAGCACCATCACCAATAAAGCTCACTGTAGTGGTGTTAGTGACAAACCTGCCTCCATTGTAAGGGGTCAAACCCCACTCTCTGCCATGGTTACCATCTCCCAGGAGCCACAGTCCCCTAATCAGGAACTTCCATTAGCGTTTCTGAGCCAAGGCCCGCAATGAGAGCATAGGTTGATTGTTCTTGACTAATGAGCCAAGTCCTGCTGATGAACTTCTGGCTCTGGTGAGATGATAATGGAAGTGGGGAGTGGCGCACCTACCAGATCCCAGGTAAGAGGTCAAACCATTTCAAAAAAAATTGCTTACAATGTGGGGGTACCAGGACTTTCCCAGCACCCTAAATACTACAGTGTTCTGCAATGGTCAAGGTGCTTAACTGAACTCCTGGATAGCTGAAACTGTCATTTTGACTTCATATCCAACAGTTCACTTTGGTACTTCAAGGACGGCTTTGTTTGAAGGAACAATTTAACATACCTAGGGTTTGCCACTTGGTGGTCACAGCCTCCATCCTGCACAAAGCATCTATTAGTGCTCCTGAGCTTAGCTTTGTTGTGCAAGGCTAGCTCACTTGCTGAGAGTGTCAGCTGAACTCTTGCAGTAAATGAGTTTACCTTAGGTAAGTTGTCAAATAGTGGTCAATTTTCTTATAATGGCTACATTTCTAAAACTGTTTCTTTAAGATATAATATATCCTTTTTCCTTAAATGCCCATATTTCTCCTAATACATAGGACTATGTGGTTGTGAAAACGAATGATGGGAATGCCCCACATAGCAGGCGTCCTCTTGTGTCAGAAGAATCCTATAGTATAAATAACCCCAGCACTGTGCCTTTACTTCACTCACTGACACATGACAGAAACAATGATAAGAAGATTCTGGAACTGACCAATCACATCATCCACCTGCTGACTGGAGAGGTGAGGCTGATGGGAATGGGACATTATACAGTAAAACCAAGGGATGTGTCTGGATGGTGACTGTATCATTGTGTGTGCCAGGTTCCAATAAGGTGTGAGGATGTCACAGTCTATTTCTCCATGGAGGAGTGGGAATATTTAGATGGACACAAGGTTCATTACAAGGATGTGATGATTGAGAATCACCAGCCCTTCAGCTCACTAGGTAAGAGGATGTTTTTACAAAAATATTGCTTTTGTAAAGTAGGGAGGTGTATGGGCAAAAAAAAAATCTGTTCGTTACTTATGAAATTCAGAACTTCAGTTCTGCACTTCGCTAATTCAGACATTCGTAAGCATCCCTCTCTTGCCACCACAACCACTTACACATCTATATGGGCTCTCCGTGCCAGGAATTAGCTTATTGGTCTAGATTTCTGTAATCATTCACATAATTTTCCTTCCCTCTCTTGTTTTTGCCATTTTCAGAAATCCAAAGCCCTTCGGCACTTCCGAAATTCGGAAGCATCCAAATTGCCGAAATTCAGCCGAATTTACATTCGGAATGAAACTAAGTGCACATGTCTATTGTAAAGCATGTGCAAACCTAGTAATGTATTAATCTAGATTGAGAGAGAAAAAAAAAAAGACTCAAGTTGATGAAGTTCAGCGTTTCAGACATCTTTTAATGCTGTTCATCCTAATAATGCAAAAAGCACAAGTTGAAGAAAGTTCAAATGTTTCCACAAAATGTAAAAATTAAAAAAAATCTTTCTTGTTTCTAAAATGGTAATCAGATTTCTCTTCAATACATTATTATATATAATTTTCAGATACTTAAATATTTTTTTTAAATACATACACAAACTGAGCAAATTTTTTTTTTTTCTCTCTGTTAATCATTATTATAAGCTCTGGCCTTTTCTATCCTTAAAAAAGAAGAAAAGAAAATACCCACGCAAACAAAACCGCATTTGCACCAGTAATCTAACATAGAACCCTCCCCACAATTAGCATCAAATATCTTCATAGAGGCAGAGATAATAGTTAATATCATCCTTCAGGTAAGTGAAATGAGTAGAAACCGCAACAACATTTGTCCTCCTCTCCGCCAGTGTCCTGGCTGTGCTAGGACTGTACTGTATCGTGATGTCAATTGCTAAAGCTTTAATAAACATTTGAAAAAGTAGTGCATCATGCAAGGAAACAAGTTGTATAACAATTTGTAGATATTTTTTCCTGGCATATAGTGACAATATACAGTGACGATGTACTTTCCCATGGGAAAAGCGGTCTGCAAGAGCTAAATTAAATAAAAAATCCCCTCCCACTTACTATATAAAGGAACTCGCCAGGCAATTCCCCTTCAGTTGTTCCTTGTCTCTGCACGAGACGGTACAAGGAAGAAGGGGATTTGACCTGATAGCTCCAGGTGGAGAGCTGAGTGGCCCGCTTCCAAATTAGGGTTACAGAGTAAAGTCAGAAGAAACCTTTAAAGGTGAGTGTTGGTCCCGACAAGCAAGAAGAGTCAGCCCCGAGTGACGCAACTATCAGACCTCGAGCCTGCACACAGTGGTGGAATGCATGCCCGGGAGGTCTTGCGTTGTGCCGAAGTTCTGATCGCGCCACTTATCTGCGTAAATCGGAACTTGAAAATCTTGTCTTCAAATTCTGAAGGTATGTAAAGCTGTGCAGATCCTGACAGCATGGATGCTAATCAATGTACATCTCCTGTATCATCAGTTCTCCACACGGGTCAGAGGTTTTTAAAGTGGGAGAAATAGTTAACCTCTACTTTAAAAAAAGCAACACTGTTTTTTTTCTTTTGGTATAGTTATTAGGTTATACTTTTTATGTTTTTGCAGATGTGTCTAGTCCTGTATCTCTTGAGAGAATGGACAAAGTTATAGTGCCTAATCCTGCACCTAAAAAGACTAACTCTAAGTCTAAACATATGGCCTGCAGTGAGTGTGCTGTTACAACAGGAGGTGATCTAGAAGATTCCAAAACATCTAAGCATTTGCTCTCATCTTTTTCTGGTGTCCAAACAAGATCATTCCTTCTAACTAGTATTAGACCAGAAGGAATTAAACAAGCCTATGCTATATCAAAAATTTCGTATGTAGGCTACTGTTGATGGCCCACATATAACATAAAGCAGACTTTATGACCACCCTAGAGCTCAAAGACGCTTATCTACACTTTCCAATAGTGGTGACATCAAGAACGTTTTGAAGTTTGCATAATAAAGAGGCATGAAGACCTATTATTTTCAATTCAAGGTCCTCTCCATTTTGCTGTCTTCGGCTCCAAGGATATTCACAAAAGTCCTTACTCCTATGACAGCTGCTCTGAGAGAACAAGGCATAGCCATACTTCCATACCTGAACGATCGGTTTATAAAAGCAAATTCAAAGCATCTCCTGCTAGAAGATGTACAGGAAGAGGCGATACCGAGTGGTGCGCCTATATGAATTTTAGAAGATTATGGTTGGATTATAAATCCAGAAAGGTCTCAGCTGCAGCCTTCAACCGTTATTCAGTTCCTGAGTCTTCTGATCAATTCAGACATCCTATCACTGCATCTGACTTTTAAATAAAATAGAGAAGTCTCATATCTCCAACTAGAATCCAACTGATCCATAAGAAAAAAGCAATGAGTGTACTGGTTTCTCTGACTTTTTCTATGCCGGCAGTCAAATGGGCAAGGTCAGCCATAAGACTTCTTCAGTGGGAGAACTTGACAAACTGGTCCAAAAGGGACAAAAACTTGAATATGACTTTCAGTATCTGCACACGAGTACGCAAACAGTGGTGGAATGAATCCAAGATCCTTTCAAAAGCACTATCTTTCCATCCCAGAAATTGGATTACTGTGACTACAGACACTTCAAAACTAGGATGGTAAGCACTTCTTCAGACACATATACACCAAGGAGTTTTGTCCACAAAGGAAGCAAATCAATCATAATATCACAAGGAACTAAAAGCTGTTGTATATGCCGTCAAACAGTTCAAGCCATTGATTTTGGCGAGATCCATCAGGATTCAATCGAACAACATCATGACAATTTCTTATCTAAACAGACAAAGAGGCACAGGATTACTTAGATGTGTCAGCTACGCATGTAAGAGGCATTAACAATATCATTGCAAACAACCTCAGCACAGCAAAATGCTCTCAGATGGAATGGTCCTTGCGTCAAGAGATTTTCTCAATTCTCATAGAGCTATTTGGGACTCCAGTATAGGATCTGATGGCCAGAAGAGAAACCAAAAAGATTTTGTATTTGCATCACTCTCCAGAAGAGATTATCCTCATGGATAATTCCTAGATGGAATGTCTGTCAGATGATATTTTGAACTGGCATATGTGTTCTTTCCAGTAAGTCTGTATCACTCTAGAAATTAGAAGATCAGAACGGACAAGGATGTAGTTCTAGCTATTGTTCCATAATGGTCGAACTGAAGCTGGTTCTCGGAATTGAGGATGATGGCTTCAACGTATTGTGCACTTTCAATCTCAACTCAGCTGATAGAGAACAGGGATCTACCTCTGGAATTTCTTTCAAGATAGTTTTGCTTCTGGTCTGATTGTCTACTCTTAACCCCTTAAGGACACGTGACCTGTCATGATTCCCTTTTATTACAGAAGTTTGGTCCTTAAGGGGTTAAAGCCCATCTGTCTGCTTTGAGTAACTTCCTTGTTAAGGATTTAGCTAAAAATATCCTGATTCGTAGATTATTCAAGGCTACCAGACTTTTGAGACTCCCTCGCAAGTCATTCTTCTCTGGGATTTGGCTGTAGTACTGAATGCACTTTACCAACCTCCTGCATTTCATTAAAGCTACTGTCTTTGAGAACTGTATTTCTGGTGGCTATCATGTCAGCCAAAAGAGTTGGCCTCAAGAAAAGAAATGGCATATGTTGGATGTTACAAGCGCCTTGCAGATATACATAGTCAATTCTTCAAATTTTAAAGATTTGGACCATGAATTTCTATGCAATATTTAGAGGAAAAGAAGCCTCTAACAAAATGCTTTCCAGATGGCTTGTGGAAAGTTGACTTATTCTGCCAGTGGTCTTCTGTTACCTGTTTCACGAGACATATTTTCATCCTCTGTGTAAGTTGCTTCAAGCTGTAGTTGCTTAATGCCCACCTTGATATTTGGAATCATGCTATATCCCTACTGTGTACTGCCACCATACGTCAAGAAAAGATTAAATTTTTACTGGCCGTAAATTCTTTTTTTCCTTAATATGGTGGCAGTACAATTATTCCTTCCTAACTTGATAATACAATTTTTAAATTGCAGTATTTTTTTTGTTATGAACTGAATGAGAATTGCCTGGGAAGTTCCTTTGATTCAGTAAGTGGGAGGAGTCTTTTGGTTTTAATTTATCTTTTGCAGACCGCTTATCCCATGGCGAAGTACATGCCCACTGTGTACTGCCAACATATTAAGGAAAAAAAATTACAGTATGTAAAAATTTCTGTTTGCTCTATATAATTCAATTCTGTGATTTACAGAGTAGTAATGGATTCCCCTTAACCTTGTAGCAGATTTCTGCTGAAATTAATACCTTCCTGGTAGAATGAACGGACGTGTAATAGAGCGAATAAACTAAACAAAACGCAGAATGAACAATTGGATATGAGTCAAAATCTGTGGTTATATAGCATGTTGGAAATATATCCAGTAATTATTGATGAGTCAAATAACTGAGAAATGGGAGCTTAGGTAGGCCAGGTAAACCATAAGTCCTGCGCTCACTCCTATCACTACTGGGCCGGCAGCAATGACTACAGTACACATCAGCCCCAATATAAAGTTACCTGCGCTCTCTCCTTAATCCCTATGTATATTTAGACAAATGGAGGTCATTTAGTTGCTCCAATGGCCATTGGAGGGAATGCAGGTAACTTTTTATTTTCTTTAGTATAGCTTTAGTTATATCTGTATCCACTGTTAAAGGTTTTTATAGTACTCCAAGTTAGTGTGACCAACGTTTCTCCCCAATGGCACATCACAGCAAAAGGAGAATACCGTCAAACATCTGCGAGATATAATGTATGAACAATGCAAACAGTTGTGTGAAATCATGGACTTGGTGGTTTTAATGACTGTGTAACTATGTATGTCATCTTGTGCAAAAAAATATATGTATTATAAGTGTGTTTTATTAAAAAATGTTTTTTCTTTAGCAGATGGGTCAATGGGAAGACCTACTCATAAAGGATTTCAAAGTCCTACTGTTACATTAGATGATGCAAATGAATATAAAAGTGACCTTAGCAGAAATAAAATACAGAAGACACAGAGCAACTCTGTACAAAATGAGGAAGTGGATTCATCCTTGTCTGGCGAAGAAAAAATTAAAGACATTTCTATACCTTCAGAACATATACAGACATCTATTTATATTAAGGAAGAACCAACATCAAGTGAAGAAGAAAATCTCACAGACATTTATACACCAGCACGGCATACAAATACAGAGTGTCCATTTACTCAATTTAGGGAGGAATCCGCAACAACTAAAACAGTAAGACTTCTAGATAGTGACATTTATATGCCTACAGACCATACAAAGACCGAAAATACATCTACTTGTATTAAGGAGGAACCAAGCTCAAGTGAAGAGCTCACGGATACTGAAATTTGTACACCACCAACAGAGCATTCATGGTCTGAATGTACATCTGCTCATATTAAGGAGGAATTAATCTCATGGGAGGAAAGGGATGGTGTAATCCGTGACCTCTATACAGCCACAAAACCTGCTTGGACAGAAAATGCATCCATTCTAAAAGAGGAATTGGCTTCATGTAAAGAAAGGAATGTCACAGATGTTGAAATGTATGCAAATACACAACATATCCAAATATTGGATATATTGATTAATACTGAAGAAGGTGCAATGAAGACCAACATTAAACCCATCACAATAGTGATGGACAATCAATATGAAAAATCTGATATATCTGTTTGTCAACAAAATAGCAACTCTGGAAAGGAATTATATACCTGCTCTGTGTGTCAGAAATGTTTTACTAGCAACTTGGAATTTACCAACCATCAGGTGATTCACACAGAGAAACAATTTTCTTGCTCTCAATGTGACCAATGTTTCTATAATAAATCAAGTTTTGTTAAACACCAGTGGAATCATCATATGGGAAAGAAACTATTCCCATGTTCTGATTGTGAGAAATGCTTTACTCGTTCCTCGGATCTTGTTAAGCATGAGAGGATTCATACAGGAGACAAACCATTATCTTGCACTCAATGTGGCAAATGTTTTCTAGATAAATCAAGCTTTGTAAAACATCAGTGGATCCATATGGGAAACAAACCGTTCTCCTGTTCGGAATGTGGGAAAAGTTTTGTTTGTTCATCCTATCTTGCTAAACATCAGAAGATTCACACAGGAGAGAAACCATTTCCTTGCTCTGAATGTGGAAAATGTTTTAGACGTTCCTCACAACTTGTTATGCATCAGAGAACTCACACAGGAGAGAAACCATTTTCTTGTTCTGAATGTGGGAAATGTTTTGCTGTTAAATCAAATCTTGTAACGCATGAGAAGATTCATGCAGGAATTAAACCATACTCTTGCTCTGAATGTGGAAAATGTTTTACTTGCAAAGCAAGTCTTGTTATACATCAGATTATCCACACAGGAAAGAAACTGTATTCTTGTATACAATGTGGGAAAAGCTTTGCTCAAAAATCAACTCTTTTTACACATAAAAAGATTCACACAGAAAGAAAACCATTCCCATGTTCTGCATGTGGGAAATGTTTTACTCATAAGTCAAGTCTTACATTACACCAACGTATTCACACAGGAGAGAAGCCATTTTCTTGCTCTGAATGCGGGAAATGTTTTACCAATCGAGCAGATCTTGTTAAACATGAGATGATTCACACAGGGGAGAACCCATTTCCATGTTCTGAGTGTGGCGTATGTTTTACTCATAAGTCAAGTCTTACTAAGCATCAGAAAACCCATATGGGGGAGAGCAAAATTATGGAAACTCAATACAAATGAGTTTTACTTTGAACTAAATGACTGCTCTAAATGCAGTTGCACAGTTGAATCATAGGGTTGATTGCTAATGTGTCTGGTGGGGTCTGTCAACCAAAAAACAGGTTTGACAATAAGCCATTTGATATGTGAATTTCAAAGTCACATAAGGCAACTTACCGGTGTGCCTCATAAAGTAAATGTATTTAATGTGTCAAGGGGAATGGTCTCAACAATAACTGCAATGTAAGCTAGACAAGATTTCTTAGAAAGGTGTTGAACCTCATTTCAAGGGTTACTCAAAGCACCATGACCACTTAGTTGATTTGAAGTGAGCATTGTATTTGAAAAGTCTGTTTTTACCTTTTGAAATGCTATAAAGACAGAGATGAATTCCTCCACCTCTGTCATTACCGAATCAAGTTACAGGCTCGCTGATGTCAATTCTGTGCAAAATTGGTGTCAGACACCTGCAGGCATAGCATGCCAAAAATCCAATGGTGCTATGGCCCCACTCCCCATGCTGCCCCTGTCCTAATTTCAGTTCGTCCTCCCTAACCTTCCTTCCCTTCTGGAGAGGGGGAGTGACGTCAACTGAGGAGCATCGGGGAGAACGTTATGGAAGTGGAAGCGTATATTTAATTTTTTTAAATTAGGGGGAGGGCATCTCAGAAATATTTTAAGCAGAAAATTCACTGGAAAACAAAAAAGGATCTTTTGTAACCTTTACAAAGCTGGGATTTATGTCAGGGCTATAGTTTGAATTATGCCCACCGCAAAGCTTGGGTTTTCTTTTTGGTAATAAAAAGTAATATAGCTTGATAAATCATCTTTTACCAGATTAATATTTGGATAAAATTGAAGGATGTCTTCAACCCACTATGGATACATGTCCATGCTTATTATTAAATAGGATCTCCTAATCATAGTTAGTACTAACCCTCAGTAGATGTTTATGTATACAAATTACAGACAGGATTCAATAGCTTACCTCTGCTTTTATAGGGGTCAAGTGCATGTCTCTCTATTTTATAAATAGCTGATTTTCACCAGAGATCATCCATTTTATAAGTGCGCTAAGTTGCGCCCTCTCGTTTGTCTGACAACAAGGAACCTTTTTTTGTTCACATGCTTTGAGGGAGCACTTAAAGTGAGTGCCACTCATAGAGCAGCACGGGATTCAAAGTTTTTTTTTATGACAAGCATTCTGTTGGCCTAGTGCAGCCAGTGAGGATCTCCAGGGGTGCCGCTGAGCTACATCATGGAGAGTTTCTTGCCACTAGTTTAGAAGTATTTTTTTTTTCTTTTTAAAGTAAAGATGAACATGGAGTGGAGGCCCTAAATTCTAAATTAACAATGGAAGAACTCCGCGTTCTAAATAAATGTATTTATTTCTAAAGTTGTGTTCCTTTTAATGTGGCAAATGTCATATCTGTCTTTGCTGACACTGACAACCAGGCTGCATTTACCATTTTAAAAGTTGAGGAAAAATAGACCTGCAATCAGCTTTACATGAATGTAATAAACTGTTTACTCCGTGCATGTGTACGTCACATTGTCTGAGCAAGTTTCCATTTGGGGTTTAATCACTAAACTGCAAATTCTACTGATTTAAAACACAGAAGATGACTTACATCTGTGTTGTTTTTCCCTAAATTTTGTAATTTGGCTTTTAGTTCACTAGAATTTTCTATTCAGTTATTAAAACCCTTAATGTTTCCTTACACCCTTTTTACACCATGCTTGTTGTTGGACCTTGGTACTTATAAAAACACCCTGCGAACAAAACCCACTTAGTGTCACCGAAGTGGTTTTAGTGTCTGGAGTTCACTGGCACCTTCTTACCTTTTAAGTGTTGGACAATTTTTGAAAAGTGTAACACCTCAATGATGTACTCAGCCTATCACTGGCTACTCATACCGAGTAAAGCTTCAAGAACATACATTCATTCCTGAAACATTACTCGCAATGTGCAACCACTGATGGTCTGAGACTTTACATCAAGATGAACCAGATGTAAATGATAGGGAACAGGGTGTAATATGAGTCTGCCCTGATGGTCATTTATACTGTCACACTGAAAACTGCAGAGTTATTTACTCAGCTGAGAATCGCCAGGAATTCTTTTAAATTCAAGGCCAAATTAGCTGAATTAGAAAAATTCTCCAAGACTTCTACAGTCATGGGAGAAAGAAAGTACACCCTCTTTGAATTCTATTATTTTGCATATCAGGACATAACCATCATCTGTTTCTCAGCAAGTCTTAAAATTAGGTAAATACTAACAAACTACGCATGACATATACTGTCATGGTTTATTTAACAAAGATAAAGCCAAAAAGGAGAAACTGTACGCTTCCAGTTCAGCTTGTTTGGAGTTAAATTTGAAGGTCACTTTGAATTCCTAGGAATTCTGACTTTACTTAATAATTTGTATTTTCCATCCCCTATTACTCTGTGCGAGACATTACAATTTAACAGTAGCCAGTAACTGCTAGTTGCTAATATTGACATTCTGTAGCACAAAACAGACATAAAAAATAAAAACTTTAACAAGATTAATTTAAAATATTAAAGGGACCCTATAGTCACCAGAACAGCAGTTTATTGAATTTGTTCTGGTGAGTAGAATCATTACCTTCAGGCTTTTTCCTGTAAACACTGCCTTTTCAGAGAAAATGCAGTGTTTTCATTATAGTCTAGTGATAACTTCACTGGCCACTCCTCAGATGGCTGTTAGAGATCCTTCCTGGGTCATGGCTGCCTAAAACGCATCCAAACATTCAGTTTCTCCTCCCTCTGCATGCAGACACTGAACTTTCCTCATAGAGATTCATTGATTCAATTCATCTCTATGAGGAGATGCTGATTGGCCAGGGCTGTGTTTGAATCATGCTGGCTCTGCCCCTGATCTGCCTCTTTGTCAGTCTCAGCAAATCCTATGGGGAAGCACTGTGATTGGATCAGGCTACCACTTCTGATGATGTCAGCAGGCAGTGGGCCAGTCTAAAGCAAACCGGGACAAAATATGCATCTGAAGACTTGAATACAGTAAGATTTTACTATTTTTAGGGAGGCATAAGGGGGCCAGGGGGGCTAGATGGTGGTTTTAACTTTATAGGGTCAGGAATACATGTTTGTGTTCCTGACCCTATAGTGCTCCTTTAATAGTTTGTCTGTAACTAATAGTGACAACAACAGAAAAAAAAGTCACACGGCTCTTGTTAAATTTCCATGTTCATCATCCCTTAAAGGACCACTCTAGGCACCCAGACCACTTCAGCTTAATGAAGTGGTCTGGGTGCCAGGTCCAGCTAGGATTAACCCATTTTTTTTTAATAAACATAGCAGTTTCAGAGAAGCTGCTATGTTTACAAATGGGTTAATCCTTCCTCCAATTCCTCTAGCGGATGTCTCATTGACAGCCGCTAGAGGCGCTTGCGTGATTCTCACTGCGAAAATCACAGTGAGAACACGCAAGCGGCCATAGGAAAGCATTATAAATGCTTTCCTATGCGACCGGCTGAATGCGCGCGCAGCTCTTGCCGCGCGTGCACATTCAGCCAAATGGGAGGAATGGAGGAGGATCGGAGGCGGAGAGCTCCCCGCCCGGCGCTGGAGAAAGGTACGTTTTTACCCCTTTCCTCTCCCCAGAGCCTGGCGGGAGGGGGACCCTGAGGGTGGGGGCATCCTCAGGGCACTATAGTGGCAGGAAAACGAGTATGTTTTCCTGGCACTATAGTGGTCCTTTAATGAACTGGATACCTTCTGTTCTTTTGAAAAAATGTGCAATTCGCAGTTACTTGATGGCATTTCAGAAAGTCTTTCTCAAGGTGTTTTCTGAAAGCAAAAAGTAGTCATACTTTTTAATGTGTCTATGACCTTGTTTAGTTTTCCATTATTTTGGCCATTCTCTTTTAGAGTCATGCAGAATGCAGGCAGTGATTTACCTGTTCACATTGTACATTGGAAGGAATTAGTGTTACACAACATGCAATAGAACAGCTATTTTCAAATACTTTGTTATTCTACCCCATACTAACAGAGGAAGTATGTTAAATGCACCTATTTGGGGTTTTAACAGACAAATACCTTAAAGTAACACTGCAAACACCATAACTACTACAGTATACTGTACTGGTTATAGTGCCAGGGGATAGATTTATAGCAGTTGGATTGCTGCCAGATACCACTTCCTGCATTTACTAAAACCTTTTCTCTAGTCAAAAGTCCTCTGTCGAAGCTAAGCACAGTAGTGAAGGACACTGGCTGAGAGCAATTAGGGCAGCTCAGATGCAATCTAGATAAGACAGGCCAAGGGTGCTAAATATGAACTATAAAGAATACTGATTGTGTTGTATTAATTAACTGCTCTGTGATGGCTATTGTCAAAATACATATCAATGAACCTCAGGTTTCAAAAGAATAGTAGATTTTCTGTTATCATTTGATTGCCTAATTAACGGTAATTTTTAACTCAACACTATTTTTTATTTGATTTGTAGAAAAGCAAAAAGTCCCTAAGAGAGACTGTATGCTGTGTTGAGGGATCCTCAATAAGGGGGTAACCCTTAAATTTCACACAATTTGTATACAAAATTGTCCAAGGGACTCCAGGTCCAGCGGACAAACGGATCCCTGATGGATATGAACAGAAATGCTTAATTTTTGTTTTGGTGATTGGAAGTCCTCCTTTTCCTAATAAAGTTGTACATTTATACATATATTTTTTTTCTGTTCATATCCATCAGGGATCCATGTGTCCTTTGGACAATTCTGTATACAAATTATTTGATTTGTATATCAATCATGAAAAATACAGCAATTTGTTTGTCAGACATGAAATGCTATCTATAAAAAAAGTTTAAATAATTATGAGACTAATTGTCTTTATTGATTCATTTTTTTTCTTCACACTTGAAATGTCCACACACAACATTTTATTTTTTGTTGTAGCCATAGCAAATGCTCAAGCTGCCATTCCTAGGTAGATGAGTCAATGCTGTGGTCTTTGGGGTGCATGGATCTCTCTACGTGCCCTCTTCTTCTCTATGAATATTTCTCTGTCGGAAGAATACAATATTTTGACATTTCATCCAAGTATTCTCACTCTTCAAAAGCATTTAGACACAGCATCACAAGGGAAAGGTTACGGAACTTCGCAGCCGCATTGTGGACTATCATAAATACCACCAATAACTGGAGGTAATCTGAAAGTTTTATAGTACAAAAAACAACTTTACTTTTTTGATCATATCACTGCACTGTTTTAATATGTTTACATGATGTAGAATGTTTTTTTCCTGTTTGACATGATGTAGAATGTATGACATTGCTCAGGTGAAGAGATGTGAGGTGGTGAAACGCGGTCTTTAAAAAAAGGAAACGAAGAGTCAAAAAAGGAAAATGGGTCCTAAAAAAGAAAGCTCAAGAGGTGGACAAACCTGAAAAATCTGAGAAGTCAAAACCCAGTAACACCAGTACCTTTTCCTAAAAAGCAAATATATCTCTCCCTAAAGATCATAGAATATCACTCCCCCCATATCAACACGAAACATCCAATGTATCCTCTCAATTAAAAAAAAAGTCTTTGTCTAGCAAAAGTAAAACGTTTTCTCAGGAAAGCCTGATTGCAGCTCTTGATGACCTGTATGAGAAAATTCAAACTGATTTCAAGACACACATATCGGAGTTAAAATCTGAGGTACTTGAATTGAAGCAGAAAGTAATGGAAGGTGTGAAGAAGTAACATTTTTGCAAACCCCAAATTATTGAAATCCAGAACCACTGAAATTAGTGCCCGGAGAAACAATTTAAGATTTAAAGGAATCCCAGAGGATATCAAATCAGATCAACTTTATGAAGTTTTAAAAGATTATTTGGTGCACTTTTTAGATCAACAAGAAATAGGTCCAGTTCCTTTTGAAAATATCATAGAAATCGGAAACCGGCTAATATAAAATCAAACAAACCAAGAGACGTCATCGTACAATTTCTAAACCGTACCGTTAAAGACTCTGGTTAGAAAATCACATTGTAATAGACCTGAGGATGATAAATATGATATCTCTATTTTCCCGGTCCTATCGCTGCCCACAAGGAAAAATCGCAAAAGAATATTGTGGCAAACCTAGCCACTTGGACAATAACTAGAGACTGTGCCTTTAAGGGTTGCCAATAGGTCGGGCGAGATATGCGCTTTACACTTATGTAGATGTTAATGTATTTTCCGTATTGCCTGTAATGCTGTTTCCGCCGAATGCAAATGGCGGTTTTGTATGGGGATTCTCTTTCGTTTCACGAACGGCACTTTAGAAAGCCGTTCGTGAACCGAACGCGATACCCCCTAATAGCCCACACACTTAGAGGCGTGTGGCGCTAGTTAACCGATTGCAACATTGTTGCAATCGGTTATTAGAGGCTCTCCTGGGTGGCCGTCGTTCGACTACCGACCATGCGGCGGTCGGCCATCTTGGATCCCTTGTTCTTCAGCGGGGCCGTGTCGTCGAACGCATAGCATTACCAATAGTTATTCGACGGCACGAACACCGCTGAGCCTCCAGGACGTTCGGGAGTTTCAGGACCAGGTTCACTAAAAGCAATCGGTTCTTTTCGTGTGTTTTGAAAGAAATGTGTTTTCTGTGCGGCGTTCGGTTATTTTAGCTGGGATCTGAGCGGCAATCTCACGAATGATGCGCCCAGACCCCAGCTATCTACCGAACGTCCATTCGTGTAAATCCACCGTGTATTTTAAAAGTTATGTATTTTTGTATGGATTGCCGGTTCTGCTGCACGAGGGGATAATCCCCTTAACGGTGCATTCTGGGAGGATGATCCCTCTCGTGCAGCGGTGCCTGATGGGAGAAATATGTTATACTGTAAGTCCCCCATGTAGTCCCCTCTGGGAGTGCCCCTGGGAAGGGACTCAGGAAACCCCTTGCATGGGGACTTGTATAAATTGTCGTGCCGATTAAAGGATTGTCAGTTGACTCCCAAAACTGTGTCTCGTCCGGTTATTGGGAGGTTGGGGATATTGCCTTGGTGTTTTCAGCGCTTGACTGTGGATTCGTTTCTGGACCAGCGGAATTCGTGGATTTAATATTGGCGTTCCGCTACAATTGGTGGCAAGCGACGGGATCCAACTCTACAGCCGAATACAGCGCATTCGAATAGAAAGAACAACCGAACGGAAAGGCAATTCGTATGAAACAAGCAGACGAAAGCGATCAGTGAATGGGGACTGATTACACGGCGTTAAAGAGACAGACGCTAAAGGAGCTGCTGGAGGCTAGAGGGAAAAGCGCTAGCAATAAATCGAAAGCAGTACTGATTGCAGAGCTAATGGAGGGCGACCAAGCGCACAGCAGTCCACCCCCACCTGCCAGAGAGGAAACACCATACCAGAGGGAACTGAGAACCCGGCTGGAATTTGTACCACAGCCAGTAACCCTGGACATCTTAACCGTACTGATGGCGGACGTCCAGGATTATATTATGGCACAGCAACACCAGAGGTCACCATCCAGGGCAGAATCCATCGCCAATTCATTCTGCGCTCCAGTGAAGCAGAAAATACCTTACCAGGCATTTAAAGCATTCTGCGAGGAGAAAGACGAGATTGACGGATACCTGCAGGATTTTGAGCGGTTGTGCGACCTACACGATCTAGAACAGGCTATGTGGGTACCCCTACTGGCAGGCAAGTTGGCAGGACGAGCAGCCGAGGCGTATCGCGCTGTGCCCAGAGAAGATAGCAAGGACTATTTTAAAGTTAAGAGGGCAATTCTGGAGAGGTATGCCATAACCCCGGAGGCGTACCGGCGTAAATTTCGGGGATTGAGGAAGCCCGAGAAAGATTCCCACGCTGAGTGGGCACATAAGCTCGACCAAGCGTCGCAAGGATGGATTCAGGCGAGCCAAGCTACCACAATGGAGGAACTGCGCCAACTCATCTTGCTGGAGCAATTTTTTAACGGACTGTCACCTGAGGCACAAGAATGGGTAAGGGACAGGAAACCCCTCACCCTAACCGAAGCCGCCCGGTTGGCGGATCAGCATTTTGACGCCCGAAGGCATCATGGGCTTCCCAACAGGGCTCCCCTGAGACCAGCTGTACCACACCACCCAACCATCTCCACACCCGCCAACGCTACTCCATTCCGGCCACCACCAGGAAACCCCCCACCGCCATCACGCTACAATGGCAGGGCCAACATACAATGCCATACCTGCCGGCAGTGGGGGCATATGTCCCGGGAGTGCACCCAGAATCGGAGCAGGCAGGCGTGGAACCAGGTACGGCAAAACTCCGCTCCAAGGGCAGCGGCCCATTTCTACCACACCGAACATGACCACTCGGAGCTGGCAAGTCTATCAACCGAAGAACCATTGGGGGTTCTGTACGAGGTGATGTCTGTGCAAGCCACGGACAACCGGCAGCATCACCGCCAAGTTGTATTTGTGGGAGGGAAAGAAGTGCAGGGGCTGCGGGACTCGGGAGCCACCTTGACCTTAGTGGCCCCCCATTTAATTCCAGATACGGCCCACACTGGCGGATCAGTGGCAGTCCGGGTAGCAGGGGGAGCCATGTACCGGTTACCCACGGCCAAAGTGCATTTGAACTGGGGTGCTGGGGAGGGGGTTGTAGAGGTGGCCATAATGAAGAAACTACCGGCCGATGTTGTTTTGGGGAATGACTTGGGCCCGATGACTTCTGCGTTTCTTCCTCAGGCTCCTTCCCAAGAGGCGCATCCGGTAACCACCCGGCAACAGGCTCGCACCACGGCATTCCCCGCACACTCTGAGGCTCAGGTAAGACACCATGACCCCCCCTTGACCGACATGACTTGGGACACCCCGACCACATTTGAAGCTGAGGTTCAGACAGACCCCACACTGCAGGTGTACCGAGATAGGGTAGACACGGACCAGGTGGGGCGGGAGGGAGAACGGTACATATGGGAAAAGAAGTTACTGTACCGGGTGGCGGAACGGGCAATAGGCAACTCTGTGACGCTCCAAACCAAGCAGCTAGTAGTGCCCCAGAAGTATAGGCAGGAGTTACTGAGAATAGCTCATGATATTCCCCTGTCCGGCCATTTAGGGATGACCCGGACCCGGTATCGCTTAACGCACGCTTTCTTTTGGCCCGGGATTTCCAAAGACGTGAGGCAATATTGTACCTCCTGTGATGTGTGCCAGAGGGTAGGCAAAAGGGGGGATCGCCATAAGGCAAAACTATGTCCCCTACCCATAATTGAGGAACCGTTCAGCCGGGTAGCCGTAGATATAGTAGGGCCACTACCAAAACCCAGCCCCTCTGGGAAACGGTATATCCTGACCGTGGTGGATTACGCCACCCGGTACCCCGAGGCGATTGCCCTAACTAATATCCACGCGGAGACTGTAGCCGAAGCCTTGATGAAAATATTCTCCCGAGTAGGGTTCCCACAGGAAATGGTCTCAGATAGGGGGACCCAATTCACGGCTGAGGTTACTCAGCAGTTATGGAGGATATGTGGCATAAAGCCGATCATTAACTCCGCGTACCACCCGCAATCCAATGGATTATGTGAGAGATTCAACGGTACCCTAAAACAGATGCTTCGGACATTCGGAGAGACCCATAAGGACTGGGAACGATTCCTTCCCCATCTGTTGTTTGCATACAGAGAGGTGCCCCAAGAGTCTACGGGTTTCTCCCCCTTTGAACTATTGTTTGGGAGAAGGGTCCGGGGGCCGTTGGATCTCATTAGAGAGCATTGGGAGGGAGAGAGTAGTGCAGATGGGACCCCTATTGTACCATACGTGCTGGCGTTCCGGGATCGCCTGGAGGAATTGACCCAGGCGGTGCGCACCAACCTCCAGGCCGCCCAACAACGACAGCGCCGTTGGTATGACAGAGGGGCCAGAGACCGTAGTTTTCAAGTGGGGCAGAAGGTGCTAATCCTTAAACCTGTCCGCACCGATAAACTACAGGCCGTCTGGCAGGGCCCATACCAGGTGGTAGAGCAGAGATGCGATACCACCTATGTGATCGGCCCATGCTCCGGAGTAGGGAAGAGACGCATGCTCCATGTGAACATGCTCAAACCCTACCACGAGCGGACGGAGGACGTGGCAGCTATTTGCACGCCCGCCTCCGAAGATCAGGAGAACCTGCCCCTTCCAGATCTGTTAGAGCAGGAGGAGCAGAAGGAACCCTCCCAGGGGGTTCAACTGGGGGAGCGGCTAAGTCCTCAAGAGCGTATCCAGGTACAAGAACTGATAGCAGCAAAGGGCGCTACCTTTTCTAACCTACCTGGGTACACTCCACTAGCCACCCACCGAGTAGAAACCCCGGGACAGCTTCCCATGCGACAGACTCCCTATCGGATTCCTGAATCCGTGCGGGAACATATGAGGAAGGAAATTGAAGAGATGTTGCAGTTGGGGGTTATTGAACACTCAGCCCCTGGGCATCGCCGGTAGTCCTGGTTCCCAAGAAAGATGGTACCACCCGGTTCTGTGTAGACTACCGGAGGTTGAACGACAAAACTGTGTCGGACGCCTACCCGATGCCTCGGATAGACGAACTGCTTGATAGGATGGCCAGGGGTCAGTATCTCACTACCATAGATTTGTGTAAGGGATACTGGCAAATTCCACTAGCCGAGGACGCCATTCCTAAGTCGGCGTTTGTCACCCCGTTTGGCTTGTACCAATTTCGAGTCATGCCATTCGGGATGAAGAACGCCCCCGCGACATTCC